GACATTGATTTTCGGTCTTTATACGTCATCCCGATACCAAAACTACCCATATTGAAGGATATTTGACATTATTTCCCAGTTTTTTAAATAACCCGAAGCCGCCATCTTGGATTTCAAAATGGCGATTGCAATATGCCGTCAGAAATTGATTTCGAGTATGTATACGTCATCCTGATTCCAAAAATACCCATAGTGAAGGATATTTGGCATTATTTCCCAGTTTTTCTAAAACCGGAAGCCGCCATATTGGATTTCAAAATGGCGTCTGACATTGATTTCCACTCTCTAGACATCACCCCGATTCCAGAAATACCCATATCGAAGGGTATTTGACAGGATTTCTCAGTTTATCTGCAACAGGATGCCGCCTTCTGGATTTCAAGAAGGTATCGGTTATCGATTTCCAGACTATAGGCGTCACGCGGACTCCAAAAATACCCATATCGAAGGGTATTTGTCAGACTTCAAAATGATTTCTAGTTCCTTCGCTACCAATATTGTCTATCAAAATATTTGGCAATTGAATTAATAACTGTCGCTTGGTACAAATATTTTACTCACCTTTTTGGGAGCACTGCTATTTAATTCTTGTCAATGTTCCTAACCAAGAACGGTATACCCGGTTTTGGTAACATATAATTGAACCCTGCACACGGTTTATATCTCGTGTACCAAAACCAAAATTCTAGCACACCGGTTTTCGGTTTTCAAGCTGCGGTTCTGAACATCAACTCGAAAACCGGCACACGGTTTTGATTTAGAACACACTGGTACACTAAAACTCAACCGAACCAGGGTACACGCTTACATAAACACAGGAGTATTTTTTTAACACGAACCAGCACACGGTGCGCACCGGTTGGTTCAGTTGCCCATCACTGACTGCCGGTGGAAGCATAACTGTCCTATGTGGCATTTCGACTTTTTTGAGGTTATAATACATCGTAAACATATCACAAGCTGTAGATTACCCAAATGGTAAAATTATTCTTTGAATTATTTGGATTTCGACGTGGTAAGCACTTTGAACTTTTTTTTAGGAAAATTTCTCATTCTCAGATATGTTGCTATTTACAAACAAATAAATTATTAAACGCACTAATCAACTTATCTTGCAACACCTATTTGTACCTTTTCGTGACACATATGATAAATTGGTATTGAAAAACTAGTAAAATGATGAGATTTATTTTAAAAATAAAATAAATGCATACAACGATTAAACTTACATTACTATTATTCCGATGCATGTTGCTTGGTTGGAAGATCAACAAAAAATGATTTTTCGTCTTCTCCAATAATAGGTACAACAACTGCCAACAGAGAGGCCTTCATATACACTTCAATTCCCCGAGAAACCTTTGCCAGACTACGTTGCAGTATTTAAGGTCCTCAAAGGTGTTAGTAAGCCTGTGCGAGCTACCAGCTATGGTAAATCGACGATGAAATGCATTGTATACACAAACTGATACGACTCTTCGAAAAAATAATCGAGATATATCAAAACAAGTTACCTGAACAGGAGAATCGCAGTATTAAAAGGTCTTAAAATCTTTCTGGAGTTTATATCTTGAAGTTAAATAAGCCAAATAACATTTTCTGGGATACAAAGATGTGTTACCAAAATATGCATATTTCTCCAAATTGTCTTGGAGATATTTTACAGGTTAACCATTTTGAGAACTTTTGAGCATTTTGAGTTCATAAAATCATTTAAAATTATCAATTTTGTGAAACCCCATAATATCATTGGTTTTTATTATTAGGTTTTCCAAAATTCCTGGAGTCCAGATTTTTTTAAATTATTATTAAAGTCACTCTTGGATCATTCGTGACTTATGCCGGTTAGATTTGAACTCAGAATAATGATGATTTCCCCTAAGTTTGAGCTGAACGATTTATCTCTAAGATAATTAAGTACTTCGACTTTGGCGTGAGATGTATAGATTCAGATCTTTATGTTTTACAGACTAACCAAGGAATTCTACGTTGTCCTGACTAATCTTGAGTTCCTGGTTAACACAAATGCAGACATTATTTTTAATTTATCTCTGGACCAATCATTATATGATTTTATAATTTCGTTGATTGTGTCCGGTGTCGAACATTTGCATGCCAAGCATGATCGGGTATGCAATGAGTTTGAGATCGGTCATTATTTAAATGGCTTGAATCTACTTTTCTATCTTCAAGTATCTTCGTAACAAGTTATAGTATGTCTGGCTCAGGTTTTAGAACTACTTAACACAATAAAATCAACAAATTTAAGAAAAAATACCAACCGTCACGCACGAAATGTGAAACATAACAACAGCAACCAGTGTAATAGGATGCTTTGTTGATTGTTCATTAACTCTTGATCGCTTGTAATACTTATGAATATTTTAGGTGGACAAAAAGGCGAACTAAGAGGGGGACGCCTGACCTTTCCAAAATTTATATCGCTGTGAAGCAACTGTAAACTCTAGAGGGAATTTATATCTGTAACTGTAACCAGTTCGATTTTGTTTGCTAATCTGGTTAAAATGTCATATTTAATTATCTTAAAGATAAATCGTCCAGCTCAAACTTTTGTTGGGGGGATCATCATCATTAACTGAGAAGTTGTTCACAGTGGGACAAATATGCGTACATTGTTCAACTCATCAGAGGCATAGCGTCCCAAATTTTTTTTTATCTTTTTTTTTTGCAACTGCGATTTTCTAAGTAGAACCAAGTTTTACCGTGAAATTTTACGATAGCAGCAAAACTTCTGTTCAAACTTTAACTGCAGTTTACTAATTTTGGTATTTTGTAACATGGGACAGTTATGCTTCCACCGGCAGTATAGTGGTTCAAAATATTGATTTTGCTTCACCAGGCTGAATTGATTCTAAATCAGATCCTGATCAATCTCCCAAAACAACTCCGCTCTCACCACTTTTCGTACTCTTTCGGCTTCACTCCGTCTGTAGCACTCGCTGCCTTCCGTCAGGGTGATACCAATAGGGATCATTCCGGCGATAACGCAAACTGCTTCCGACGAGATGGTTTCGTACGCACTCACGACTCGCATGGACATGAGCCGGAACGTATTGCTTTCTTTTGTTTCTGCTTGGGTTCCAGCCCAGACTGGATCTCCATACCTCAGTATCGACGACAACATACTAGCCAGAAGACGCCTCTCGCCTCTCGTCTGGAACCAGAGTTGTTCGACATGATTCTAGCTATCGCGTTGATGGCCTTCGAAGTCTTCTCACAGGCATATTCGACGTGGCTGTTGAAGTTTAGACGGTCATCGATCATCACTCCCAGGTTTTTCAACACGCGCTTCGAGGCTATGGCATGCTCCCGGACGGTGATTTCTGCCCGCTGCATCGCTTTACAGTTACTGACCAATATCATTTCCGTTTTGTGATGGGCTATTTGTTCCTTGCATCCAGTTACCAATCATGTCAATCGCCTCGGTCGCCAACATTTCCACCTCTTCCAGCGTATCACCTGTTACCGTCAACTCTTTTGTGTAGCTTCAACGTAAACACGCCGTTGTACATCCCGATCCAGAGCGTTGGACCAAGGATGGGCCTTTGGGCGTCGTAAAATTTGAACAAGATAGTATTTATCAAAAGTGGAACTTGTTGATATCAAGGGGAAAATAGCTGACACCATGGAACTGCTAACCATTAAATGCAGATGATCCTGAAATCTCTGTGAATATACGACAGATGGATTATGATTACTGAGCAGATGGAGATCTTAAGAATAGTACCTGATGAACCTGAAGTCTGAGGACTTCACGAAGGTCTTTGATCATCTGAAGATCTTTTAAAAATTACTGGCTAACATGCCACTATGAGTGATTATCTATTGTTTTTCCTTGGTTTGTGCTGAGCACCAATGCTACCGACGCCAGAGAGGCAGCTCCCACACTTGAACCCTACCACCTATCGACCCATCAACTCATGACCAAGGAAGGCGTGATCAGAGATGTTATGCCTCAGAAGATCCCGGTGGCGCTGACTGGGATTGAACTCAGGCCTGCTAGGGTGAGAGTTAATCACGCTTACCACTACACCACCGGCGCCGCTAGAGTGATTATCTAATGCATAAATGTTGTTTTTTTTTAATAATTACTTTATTTGTACAGGCTCTATCGAATAAACTTTACAGAGCCGAGTAATCATTTTCGTTACACATTATTACAGGCTTACATTTAAAGTTAAAGGAACTGGACCGAGTACTCGCGGTTTTCTCGAGGTTAGTGGAGAAAAATGATTTTTTAATTGATGATCGATTGAAAATCTTCAGAAAATGCGTTACTAACAATTAAGTCTTATGATGTTATTTGGATTTCTGAACAGATAACTCAGTTGAATCCTCAAGAAACATATCGATGGGAATAATGAACACATGGAGAAGCTTAAACAAGTACTGTCTGTTTAACGGTAGGTTGGCAAACATGAGACGGACCGAAAAGTTGTGGATAAATTGTGCTACCCTGGGAAGCAGAGGGTTAAATGTTAATCAATCAAACAAAATGCAAATTCTGAGAGGGTTTCAAAGACATTCTCAGTAGAATACAAATGGAATTCTGAGGAGAGTGCCTAGGAATACTCAAGAAGAACTCAAAGGAAGAATTACAAGGAAATTCCAAGGAGAATCTCCGGGTAATTTTGAGAAAAATTCAATGGATTTTTGAGGAGAACTCTCACAGAATTGAGGTGAATTTTAATGGAATTTTGGAAAAGCAGTGGTTAAAGGAATTTTCCGAGGGGTGCGACACATCTAAATTTCGATTTTAAATGGTCGAAAGATCTCACACTATTCCAGATGCCTTTAAATTTATGTATTTCGATTTCCCTTAGGATTTATGTTGCGTACATTGCTTTAGAACTAATCTAAATAAAAGTGTCGGTTTAAAGTTTTGAAATTTGAAATGTAATCAACAGAAATATCACATCGCATACACTTTGTAAGCAGCTACACCCTCGATGCTGAAAACCCTAAATTGAACAACTCACCGGATTGGTTTGATGAAAATACACTTAACAATGCACAACCAGATTTTCACTGCGCGACATCGGGAAAACGTACAAATCAATCAATCGCAAATCGAATGCGGTATCTATATTTTATCTGATGCTGCAACCATCATTGTGATGCAGATATTCTTTTGTTTGATTCTTACACAATCCGGTCAAGTGAATACAAAACGACTACCGGTTTTGATGACAGTCTGGTCTCTCGTATCATTCGATAGAAGCAACCAGTCCGTACACAGCAAAAGGAAAATCCTCTTCGTGGCCTGATGATTTCACTTTTCTCTTGCCAACTCTTTCGAGCTGTATTTTGATATATTTCTCACAGTAGTGCTACGCACTCATACATCAGCCCAATCTTCACACATCAGATACTAATAATGACACAACCAGGAAAGAAAAATCGAAGCAATATTTTCCGGAAGAAACTACCTTTAATTCCAGACATCAACACCAGAAATAACAGCACCAATGAAATAAACACGTTCACTTTTTCAAACTTAATGCAGTATCAGTTCAATCGTTACGAGATTAATCAAATATTTTCCTGATTAACAAACAGCGCCGCAGTTTTCACTCCGCACAACGACGAAAGTCAGAAATCGATTATTTTGGAATGGAAAAACTGTGACAGAGATTGCCACTGACACGGGTACGCAAGAAACAAACATGATGCAAACCTGAGAGAAGAGTCGAGAAAATGAGCAAGTTGGACGATGCGAAGATAAACATTCAGCTGCAGAAACACTATTTACATGCATAAGGGTACATTGAAATATTACGTAACATGGAAGGGGGTAGGGGGAGCTGCTATGTTTTTGATACAAACCCTAAACGGTAACCAGTGTTAACACATTAATGAGTAAAACACATTTATCTGTAAACCCAGCAGACGGCATTAGAAGAGTATTTTTTACACATTTTTCAAGAACGGTTTTACTTCAAAATGTGTAAAAAGTAATCATTTCTAGAACTTGATAAAAGTGTTTTTTGGAAACCGGAAAAAAATTAACATGTTTACGCTTCGTTGCACTTCCACGACCGCGGTTAGGGCAAAACCTCGGGCAAAACTGGTCAAAAATAGTTCACCAGTTCACTAAGAATTCCAACAAACAAATACGTTAGACAACGATAAAGTCACGTCAAGGATTATTGCGTGCCCTTAGAGTCACGTACAAAGTTGGAACATTTTGCTCCACGGCAAGTGTTGGCAGCTTTTGTAAACACAACGAACTGTCAAATCGTCTGATAATATTTCCACGAATCTCTATGTATAGGATTACTAGGTACTACCAACAATCAATACGAAACTAACGATTTTAAATTAGCTCACTACTTGACTAGCCTATTCGTCCCAAGCAAATAAATTAACGTACCCCATTCTAGTCGAATATTCTAGTACTACACTATGTTTGTTTTGATTCGCTATGAAAGTTCGACAGATAAAATGAGAGGTTCGTGGATTTTTCTATGTTTCGAGGGGTGAATCGATTGGCTTGGGACCGCAGAGAGTACCAGAGCTGAGCCAAAAAGTTGAGCACGTTATTTCGGAACCTTCTAGTCTTAGAGTTACCTCTATGGTACTACCAACTAAAAACATTAAAATTTACCGTTAAATACGTGTTCGATGAACACATTGCCAGAGTTATGTCTGTTTTTCTGTGCTATGTACTGTGACCTACCTGACTTATAACGAATATACATTGTATACGGGTACGGGTACAACGTATAGTTCGTCTAATTTTACATTGCAAATGCTAATTCGGGATACTCGTAAACAACGTATATTCGTAATAAGTCAGATAACACCAGCCCAGTGGCGCGTAGGCAACATGTTATACCGTGACAGCGGGCCCAGCACAGCAAAATAAACTATTTGAGCCCGGGACATGCTGCCTACTGTCAAACGCTGTTGTTGATATAGGCGTTCCCTAATAAACGGGTACCATACACTAACGATATCAGAGATGGTACGGCCAAACTACAAAAAGTTAGGATGATATCCCGAATTGGTGGTTAGGCGCTTTTTATGCTTATTTTTATGCGGGTTGTCACTGGCCTGGATACAACAGTAGCCGATGCTTGACTAGATATTCCCGGCATTATCTCTTCATTCCTTTATTTAACGTCGGTCTCTGTTCCGAAATTAAGTACCAATCACCGACGGACATCGATTGCAATCCATTGACGGCAATCGAATGTGCAGGAAGGCAGCTTCCACACCTGCGTAGGATATCGCACTCATTCAACAAACAAGGGCCGGTACCAACGGTTTTACTTCCCTTCCCGCATAAACGCGAACCATAAATTGACCTTACCTAAAATGGTTAAAAATTGTTTATAATCCCTGCTAAACTTTAACTGAAATGGTTATGGAACTTTACATGAACGTTTAATGATAAAGTTTCAACCTTATGTATTATGGTTTTTTAGAACTGGACCTTACAAATAATGGGTTGTTAAGAACCATTACCATTCCAAATTCTTGTTTTCTCCATACATTTTCAGAAAGAGAACTATATAAGAACGTTTTTACTTATGATTTGAGAACATTAATGGTAATGGTTATGGTAGTCAGTAAGGTCCATTAATGGTTTTGTATTATCGCTCAACTTTACGTGGAATATATCGTGAATTGGTAATCAGTAAATTACAGGCAACCAATTCGCGATATATTCCACATAAAGTTGATCGATGTTACAAAACCATTCGTGGACCTTACTGCCTACCATAACCATTACCATTAAAGTTCTCAAACCATAAGTTAAAAGGTTCTAATATAGTTCTCTTTCCGAAAATGTATGGAGAAAACAAGAATTTGGAACGGTAATGGTTCTTAACAACCCATTATTTGTAAGGTCCAGTTCCAAAAAACCATAATACATAAGGTTGAAACTTTATCATTAAACGTTCATGTAAAGTTCCATAACCATTTCAGTTAAAGTTTAGCAGGGATTATAAACAATTTTTAACCATTTTAGGTAAGGTCAATTTATGGTTCGCGTTTATGCGGGTTCCGAAGGAAGACGTGACCAGAGATTTTTATGCCTCAAAAAAATTTAACCGACCTCGGCTGGGATTGAACCCAGACCCTTTGGGATGAGAAAGTAGTCACGCTTACCTACACCGCCGGCGACGGCTCCGTCATTATCTCCGCCAGACTATTTATGAATATAGTGACTATAGCCTTAACCAAGGTGACTACATATAGGTGTTCTAATGTGTCAAACTCATGATTCAGCCGTGTTGGATTTTTGTATGGGGCAGTGACCGAGTTTGTTCACAATTTGCTTTAAAACCGCACTTTTCCACCCCGCGATCACCTCGCCCATATAGTGACAAAGCTGTATCACCATGTATATATCAACCATGGCCTTAACGAGGAAAGAGCAAAATCTTAAATGTTTACGCAGCTGAATGTGTATGACGTTTCGTATTTAAAGATGACGTTAACATGTTTTGATTACATGTCATCCGTCAGTGTCTGTTCTTAGCAACTTGTTCATACAGTTTTGCTTAAAATTACTATTTTCCGTATTTTTTGATAGTTTGGAAGCAATTCTCAACAACCAAGTAAGTAACTAGAGTACCTGGGTAACTTAAACAGAAACAGCATACTGTTACTGATTATGCTGTTCGAAAATTCATGATACTCAACACAAGTTTTCTTATGACGTGTACCTTCAACCGGCTTACACGAAGTACATTGAAAAAGTATCGTATTCGTAAATAGTAATGTATAACTACTGGCAAATCATAAATGAACATGGCTTTGATTCTACATTGCCCGGAAAACCTTTCACTGTCAATCAATTTATTTAGCGGTAGATTATCATTAACCGAAAAGAAGCGTTTTCCGGAAAATGTTCCCGGAAGCACTATTTTCCAGAATCAAATGATATGGTTGCTTGAGTTTCTCTTACTTTTTCTGTAGAACTCGCTTTCGGCGATATATTACTTGAACACTTGTACCCCACTCATATTCTTTGAAAGCAGTACTTTCAATCATTTTCAATACTTTATGTCCTTTGGCATACTATGATAAATTGGCCAGAAAAGGAGGAAAATTTGGGGTTTTTTCCTATTCATTAAATACATAAATAAAAAAGATTTCAATATTCAAACGTACGCTCTTCTAGAGAATACACCCTTCTTTAAAAAATAGGCTGTTCTTTGACAATTTAGAACTCTTCAGATAAAGAACCGCTTATTTTTCAAAGACGGATGGATTCTCTATAAGATCATACGATAATAGGTAGGGTAGTGTATCCTAACAAAATGTGTATGGTATGTTGGTTTAACGACATGTTCAGGATATCATCCAATCCATTTGTGGAATCGATATATCATTTAGTTTATCGTTCTGGAATGGTATTTTTTATTAGGGTGGGGCAAGATCAATCCTCTGCCAAGAAGGAGGGTTACTGAAGCCACCACCATTGGTGGTGTCAGCACTGTAGCATACAGTTTTTATGCTATGTTTATATGTGCATTGACGACACGTATGCATTAAAAAAATCTTATGTGAATTGATTAATGAAACTTGATTTTTTTCCTAATTTATAAATTAATATAATAAATATTTAATTCCTACATGTACGCGCTTGTTGAACATTTACCACGATTATTTTACCGCGCAAGAAATCAAACATATATGTGGACGGAGCATAATTTCTCAATGTTTGCATCCAGCTGCCTTAGATTGGCAGATAATCGAGCCAAAGAACCAACAACTTTGGCTTCAAGCAAAATTTTGGTGAATGACTTTTCTGCCACCGGAGTGGGCAAGATGGGTCATCTACTTGATGTTATCGCCGTTTCAGGGAAAATAATTCAACGCAACTGACAACAGTATGCTATTAAAGCTGATAATCTGACGCCAAATGCTAATTTTTCTCTTTCTTAATTTTCTTACTTTTATTGTATCTTATTGTAAATACATTGATTCTTCGTAAAAACATATTTAAAATGAATAAAAGAGCAAAAGTTAGTTTAGGAACAACATTTAAAAATATAAAATGTTTATAAATATTGAAAAAAATTTAAACTTAAAAAATTGTTGTCGTTGAACGGGCCAATATAGTTTCCGAACTGTTTTAAAGTAATTGATATGTCATTGACTCAATAAAAAATTACCGATAATCGAGTCCGAACTGTACTACCACTAACAAATCTGCAAAATGATGCTTCCTGGTAAATTATTTTCCGGTTAACGGTACATTCCGGATAATAATAATATTCCGGTAAGTGGTCGACCGCGAAATTGATATCCGGTGAATAGTTTTCCGGGTATTATCTTAGAATGTATGGCTTTCTTGTAATCTTATGAATAACAAATAATGCATATAAAGTAGTAATTTTCAAATAAAAAACATATTATACAAAGTAAATCCAATAAAAAACATCTTATACAAATATTTATGTTTACCTGTATACCGTGTATATCTTATTTATGTATACACGGTAATTCATCTCAAATTATCGTAAATTTTAGCAAGCAACATGATTTCCGATGTTCAACTAGCCGTATTCTGCAATGTTCTTGGAGTGTTCCTCTTCCTTCTGGTCGTAGGATATCATTACATAAATGCAAACATGGGAAGGTAAGTTTTATTTTCGTTCAAAATTATGTTGGAGGTGTAGTAAATTTCTATAGATAATTGCAAACCTGAAGCAATTGAATCATTGAACTAAATGATTGACTTTTTTTATTCACAGAAGCACTGGTCTTGCGAAGCATAAATGAAGATCTGCTGGTTGCCTCAAGCATTAATTATAAATCTACAACCACAACATACCCTTTTCCACATAAAAGCAGAATTTTATCAGGAAAGTCTTAGCATGTAAGTATGGATAGCGTCTTGAATAAATACTGAAAATTGCAAAATTATAAATGTACCTCAAATGTTTCAAGGAATTTCTTTCGCGGTCAGACGATGACTAGCTCCTTATTGAAAAATATGTATTAATGTAGAATCATCTCGTAAAATATAACATCCATTCTTTTACTTGTACACATCAATTTAAAAATATACCGTACTACCGTGGGCTAGCTTGTACGCCTTCAGGTCATCTTAATACTCCACCGGTTTTAAGTATGAGTGTTCGCTCGATGTTGTCTTTGTACTGAAATGACACCAAGGATGATAATTTGCTCAATTTAGGGACAACAGCTCTAACCACCTTTGAATATCAATGATAGCATCCAAATGGATCATTTCCTTATTGCTCTTTGTGCTTAGATGCATCAATTCGTCCAGTCGGTTTTGTATAGTAACGAAGGTAGGCCTATCGATGGGCAGTGCACTCCAACAACTCAGCATAAGGTCATACCTATTGAGAAACGATAAATTAGGATGCTAAATATGTTATAGACGACCAACAATTATGCTTACAACTCCTTACTGCAACTGTCGGGTTTTTCCATGCGATATCCTCGTTTGAGCTCCATGATCAAGTCACTTGTTGATAGCAAAGGGTAAGGATTGCCACCGAGGGTGAAAATTTCGTAGAGTAAAATCCCGTATGACCAAACATCACTTTGGGATGTATACACTTGATGGCTTAGCGATTCTAATGCTAGCCATTTGATCGGAAGCTTACCCGTCCCGGTCTTGCGGTAAAGGTTTTCTTGGTATATATCACGGCTTAGTCTGTGGAAAGAAATAAGTATTAATACCTAATAATAGAAATCGCACAAGTATTAACCCATTAACGCCCAGTGATCTATTTATAGATAAGAATTCTTTTTTATCATGTCTTATGCTACGTTCAGACTACAGAGTTATAACATGTTATAGCGCTATCTTGATGGTGGTTTCTGTGTTGCAATTATTTGACAACCGTTATAACATGTTATAACTCTCCAGTCTGGACAGCGTTTTAACAGCAATTGGTAACGTAGATTATGTTTTCAACATCACATGACACAACATCATGTGTCCGACACATATATATCATTTGTTTATCACATTGTCACATCATGTGATCATGTGTGAGACACATAGAAACAAACATCGATTTTTTCTTAGTGTATAGCATCATCATGTATTTGTCGCCAACACCGTCCTAAAGGTGTTCATGATTATGCGGTCTCATTTTGCGAGTGGCCCGATCCAGCTCATCCCAGAGCAACTCGAAGGGATTTACATCTGGCGATTGCGCTGGCCGAACCATGTTGACCAATTCCCTTTTTAGTTCCTCTTCATTTACAAATCAACGACAGAGATTTGACGAGAATCCGTCCGCTGTCACTCTAGCGATGCAGGGGTGTGTTCGGATGCACTGACGGCCCACATCTCCTTTATCGGGCAACACCTTCCCCACAAGTAATGAATGCAATACTTGTAGTTCACTGGCTGTGGGAACAATAATGTTAATTTACTTTGCTTGTTTGGTACCCCGCTTGACAGTTCGATTGGTACTTCTGGCTGCACTCTTGGCGGGCCTCTTATTATAACATCGACTCTGGTAAAACGGAGATAACACGTTACTAAACAGTGTTGCAGGATTATTGAAATCTCGCATCACTTTCCAAATAGACCAATGTAACATATTCGCCATTTTTAGAAAGCCTGAAGTTCGATACATTAATATTTTAACTGTTTAGAAACAATACATTTTGCAATACCATTTTTAATGTAGTCAGTGAATAATAACGTTGAAAATTCAATAGAAACGGTAAAATCACAATTTTACTTTGAATTTCACGATACAATATAGAAAAAAAACACATAGGGCGTTTTGACTAGTCAAGTTGTACATCGGATATGTTACATTGGACGATTTTTCTCAAAGACAAAAACAATGAGTGTTACATTGGATGTTTTGTTCTACATTATACTAGATTCCCTTTCATAGATTTCAGAATGGAGTACCTAACCTTTCCATGCCCCGCCTTTAGAAAATGAGCACCAATCTTGTCAAAATGTACATTGGGCAATTGCTGACCTATGATTATCTTAAATAAATGAAAATTAATTTGGATGGGTGTTTTTGTATCACATACAATAACAGAAGAGCAATACATTGTATCGAGTAACTTGATTTGATTACATTTGTCTATTTGAAAAGTGACGCGAGAATTTCATCTTTTTTTATTATTTTAACTCTGATGTGCTTTTTTCTTCCCCGCATTATTCAAATGGGAGCTAAATATCCTGTCACGCACATAACGGTTAAACATTTGAGAGATAGTAACATGTCTAGTAGCTTGTTAAAAAATCCTATAGAGTTCTCCAGATGCACAAAAGTGTGCGTGAGACCGCGCGCTACCTTTTTAAGTAGTTGTGATATCGCGATTCCTTTTTGGTTCTTCTTCTTTTTCATTTTTATATATGGATGCTGGATTTTAGTGTTCGTGAGATTGCGCTTGGAGATCTCTATTGCCGCCATCATTATTTTTTAACGTATTTGAAGATGGTACCTGGCCAAAGCTCTATCATATCAGGTGCGGTTAAAACTTACCCAAAGTCCGAAATTTTGACCACTTTGTTCGAACAGACCAACACATTTCTTGCTGCTAAGTCACGATGAACCACCTTGTTACGGGCAAGATATTCCTACAAGTAAAGGGCAATGTAAAATTGAAACAAATAATTCCTGTAAATTCTTACCATTCCAACGGCAATCTGTTTAGCAAACTCTATCAGTTGACTGCTTGTGACGATGCATTCCGCGCTTTGATTTCGGTTTTCATTGCTGAGATCTTCGTGGTAGCATTGATTATCAACAAAATCAAACAATTGATGCTTCCCATAGTTTTTGGTATCGTTTACGTTGCATTCACAACCGGAAATCTGTATGCTGCATGATGTCTTCGCTTTCCATTTATCCGCTTCCGGACTGCTCGATTGAAGTATTTCAACGTTGCATTTACACGCATTGGTGCAAATGTTTGTACTGTCATCAAAGCTGTTCATATCGGTATCCAAGTAAAGGCCAATGTTATCATTTAGGTTATCGTTCAGTAGTGGGTACAGTCGGTTTTCTGTTATTTTAGTAATCGGTGTATCCGATATTTGCTGCGTTGTACTATGGTCAGAAATATTCTTATATGCTAGAGATTTCTTTTCGTGTATGAAGGGAGCGTCGAAATTAAAAACATTTTCAGGTTTTTTGTTACATTCCAGGCCTGGTGAACGGCACGCTTCGAAGTTTCCATCTGACTCTGCAATAGAGTTCAGCTTCTGTTGCACAATAAAAACCGAACGATTCCTATTGCGTAATATTTTGTGCCATTCGTATCTATAAGAGGATTTAAAAAATAATTTTGCATTTGAAAAATGTAAGATTGATGTTTATTTTATGTTTAACATTAATACATATTGTTCTTTATGGTTTAAACGGATTTTTCCCAAATATACATTAAGTTACTACACTACACTAAACTACAGTGAGCCACATAAGATCAGTAAAAATCATCAGTTTACAATCAGTAAACTTGAACTTTAGGAGGTTCGCTAAACAACCATAGGAAATCTACTTATAAACCACTGAATCATCTTTGCTTTTGAATCGAAGTATGAAACCTCTGAGGTTTGATATTTATCAACTACCAATTCAATTCAGTGCTTGGTGGACTTCGTGTGTAACTTTTTCAGAAAAATTAAAAAGACGCCATGTTGTCAGTAGTTGTGAGATCAAAACTTGCAGCTTACGGTAATCAATTGGATATAATTTAGGGGTGCCACAAAATCGTCAAAGTTTGAATTTTTTGAAAACCGAAAAAAGGGGGGAAATGACGGCTTTACCACCTTCAGGATCAGGATTCATCAGGATTTACCATCTTGTTTTACCTATTATCGTCAATTTCAGGTAAATGGAGTCTTAGAGTGTTCTTTTTTTTTGCAAAACGATGCTCTTAAATATGATGAGACTGCATGCAAAAAAATCAGCACTCAAGAATTTCATTTTTCTCCTAACGATAATAGGTAAAGAAGTGCCGAAGCCTACATGAAATTTCAATTTTGAGCATTTTCACACCAAATGATTTGATTCGACCTTCTCAGATGAAACTTCGCATAATTGTTTATAATGGTCAATCATTCCCATTAGTAATAAAATTTGGCCATTTTGTATCATGCATAAAAAGGCGTATTTAACATTTTTTTTAATAAATCGTAGCACGGAAACGTCTATTGAAATCGAAATGACGTCTGAGACAAAGTTGTACGGAAAAATATTTTGTTTTCTTTTTAAGTGCTTGTGAACAATTTCCCACCGTAGGTATGCTGTTGTGATCTAGCGTTTGGTTAAACGTGTTATCCAGAACAAATTTCCAAGGAGATGGGATGGGCATTGACGTGTGCACCGGGAATATATGTTAAAACTGGATTAAAGATAAGTGTTTCATATACGAAAATATCATTTATGATAATTTTATCTTTCAGTTCTTGTAGATTAAAATAAAGCAAGCTGATTGATATAAAATGATTGCAGTTTCATTCACATATCGTTATCATTAAAAGTAACATATGGGGGCGACCCCGGCGTAGTGGTTAGCATCCATACCGCTCACGCCAAAGTCACGAGTTCAAATCTCACCCCCGGACAAGTCACGAATGACCCAAGAGCGTTAAAGTGATTATAATAGAAAAGTAACACATTCTTCTATGGTTACTATTTTAACTGATTACCTGAATAAAACTGTGAATTTAGACAATTGTGAATGGTTTTCAATACCTGGATTTTTTCTGAAAAACGACTGGAAAATCAGGGAATTTAGTTTTCTTCGTTGAGTCGATATCCTGAAAATGTAAAATATGTCATTTAAAAAAAAAAACAAGATTCAAAAAGGTCAAATTTCAGTACAAATGTGCATGACTGTCCATAACAAACCATTATGCAAAGCTTCAGGAAATCAGAGAAGTTTGTGATAAAAATTCAATGTTTCTCCAATTGGCCTGGAACTGCTCTTCTCGAAAAAAAATGCCAAGTGACTTAAAAATGCATAACACATCACAAGATCTGATGTATATCAGTATATATTGTTTTTTTTTTTTTTTTTTTTTTTTCTAATATCGACAAATGTCAATTTTTAGCGGCACCGGTGGTGCCGTGATAAGCGTGATTGCCTCTCACTCCAAAAGAGCTTGGGTTTAATCCCAGTCGGCGCCGTCGGGATTTTCGGAGGCATAAAACCTCTAATCACGTTAACCTTCGGAAGGGAAGTGAAGCCGTTGGTCCCCGGTCCATGAGTTGATGGGTCGATAGGTAGGGTCCAGGTATGGGAGTTGCATTCCTGGCGTCGGCAGCATTTGTTTTCAGTACGCAAAACAAGATCGACGGAAAACAAATCAAGGAAAAAAAGTCGAGTTTTGACAAAAAAAAAAAAAAAAAAAAAAAAAACTACACGATTCGAGATCTAGACGTTTTAGACAAAAAAGCACTAACCGTAAGTAATTCAATAGATTGCCCTCGCTGCAGTACTCCGTCAGGAGCATCAATTCGTTGATATTCTTCGTATAGTGACCGACGATGCACACAATGTTTGGATGTATTCCTACCGACTTCATCACATCAATCTCACGTCGGAACTCTTTGATATCCTCCAAGCTTGGGAATTCTGTGAAATAATCATACATCACATTTAGTTTGATCGTTCGCATCGATGTGCTCCGTTGTTTATTGACTTAACCCACGCTATGTCTGAAGGTACATATTATTCAAGTTGCATGTACCTCTGTAACTAGTACAGAGTAACTATCTAACTTGTGAATGTTTTAAATCATTTCATCTAGGATTTTTTGATAAAAAGTGTTTTGAAGTTTACATAACCGTTGTTCGACGTGTATAATGTTTGCAAACATGGAAGCCACCCTCCAGTTCGATTCATAACCCTAAAATATAAACCTGTTTAAATAATGGTGAAGTTTCGTGATATTTTAGGGTGGGCGCAAAAGGATAGATGCAGTATTTTGTAAATTACTATGGGAACTTTAAAAATCTCACCAATATCGCTTTAACTTTGGTTGCCAAATGCTGTCAAAGAGATTATTTTTGTTATAAATTGGTGAAGTAAACAAACAAATATTTAGCAGATAAGTTGACCTGTTCTACGATTTATTGCATTTATATCTTCCTATAATTGTGATTGTAAGCCATAGCAACACAATATTCGGAATTAAATCCTTGAAAAAGTCTAGTGAGGACCGAAACGCTGGATAGAGAAAACATACAAGTGTACCAAACCCCATGATCATTTCAAAATCGAAAAAAAAAATCTACGAGAGTTTGGTGAAGTTAAAGGGGCTTGCAGTTTGTATGATAAGTTTTTTTTTAATTACTATGGGAGATTTTAAAACTTCGGTTATATCGCTCTAAATTTGGTTCTAGGGGAAACGCTCCTATAGTTGCGGTACGTTAGAAGTGTTATGTTCCTATAGTTGTGCATGGAGACTCAATACACAATTATAGGAATCTAACGCTTCTAACGTACCGCAACTATAGGAGCGTTTACCCTAGTTGTCAATCAAAATTTAATATTTTGTTGCTATGGTAATGACTAACAAACTTGTGTTTGCTATGGTTTGTGTGATAACAATTGTAGAGAGATACAAATAAGGTAAAAGCATTATAATTCGCCACCCTATTTTTTTACACCAGTGGTATCAATTATTTGTTCGGAACTGCGAAATTAGTTATATAATGGATGTGTTTTGAGCGAAAAAAAAAAGATTGATAGGGGAAACGCTCCTATAGTTGCGGTACGTTAGAAGCATTAGGTTCCTATAGTTGTGCATGGAGACTCAATACACAAGTATAGGAACCTAACGCTTCTAACTTACCGCAACTATAGGAGCGTTTACCTTACATGCAAATAAACGCCACATCTTAAACGGTTATTTGTTTCAATTATTGCGCCTACTTTTTTTGTTTTCGCCCCATACTCAATATATCCAATGCAATGTAGCTCACCTGCAGCACGGTGTACTCTATAGAAGGTGAGATATTCCGGTAAATGACGTTTTCACGGCTGGTAGTGGGTATGTGATATACTAGTGACCAATAGTGACATATATTGATCGGAAAAATATCTTTCCAATCTTCCGTTGATTGCGATTGCCACTTCGAGAAGTTTTATAAACTCACCAACCTATCGTGCGCATTTTTCATGTTTCTAAAAAAATAAACTTATCGTTTAAGGATTCCATACATTTTTTGATATTGAGGCTCAAAGAAAAATGTTCAAATAAGAGGATTTAGACAAATTTTAATAATATTAGAACAATCAATTTTAAAGATCTAGCATATAGATAAAGCGATGCGCTTAGCAACGGGAAGAAATATAGTCTAGAATTAAATGTAGATCTAAGTTAGCCATGAGTATTTTAATAAAAAAGAACATTATTCTGGGACCTAGACAACTTTTCTTTTCATGGACCTTAAACAAAATTTGAATGCGTCTTGGGATAGATTTTAGAGCATGGGACGATTTTTTTATTGTTCGGACAGTTCGTTGTTTTAAGTATAACTTTTTCCTAGATTTACAATATTTTTAACATATTCTGCAAAGTTGTTTGGCATGCAAAAATACATATTTTTGCTGAACATTGCAACATGCTATCTCTTAAAAATAAAATATGTATTCAAAAATTAGACATTTGCAGGAGTTTTTTAGTTATAAAAAAAAACACCTAAAAGATGCGTGCTGACACATGTTTTTATAACTTTTCGACAGTAAAATAAATATAGATTCAGAATCTTAACTAGATTTCTTCGCCAATTTGCGCCGGAAATAGTTATTTAAGGAGCAAATATCCCTAAAAATATCGATTATTTAAGAATAACTTTTTTGTTTCAAGAGAAAATGTTCAGCAAAAGCATGTGTTTACAATTGCAAAATATAGTTGTAGAAGAAACCAAAATTGTAGAATGTCTAGAAAATCAGTTATACTAAAAAACATGATTTAGGGCCTTATTACGGGTGTCACGACACGGTGATAAGGAAGTGATACTCATAATAAGAGCCGTGATTGCCGTACAAATCAAATGGGAATCACTTCACCGTGACGACAAGTGACAAGTTTTCACCGTGAAGGGGCCTTTCACGAAAATTGATACATATCTCGCAATTTATAAGTGCTAAAAATTTCGGGTGTTTAGCAAAGTTACTTAAAATAACATTTGTTACAACTTTATTGAAGACGTTAAGTCTCTATCTGAATCAGATAAAAACATATTTTTTTGATCTCACTTTTAGGTGGATTAATCACCACCGGCTACATCAAAAGAAGCGGCTTAACATATGCTAACACATTTTTGAATAAACTATAACCCTAAAATCAATGTTTGAGAAGCTATTAAAAAAGCGCACGAAAATGGCAAAAAGCAACACTGTGCAAAGGGACGCATCCCGACCAAAGTGGGTCAACTAAATGAAAGCAAATCGATATTAAAGTTTGCAGTTCCTATCATAATAAAAGACATTTTGATTTCAATTGTCGACACATAAGGCTGATATCATATTGTGCCTTCATTATGCAGTCAAGAGTTTTTTTTTTAAATGAAAGCAGCTTATCTTCAAGATCTGCTGTTAACATCTTAGGTTCATCTGTCGTTAGACTAACGATTATTGTTTATTTGTTTTATTTAACGCATTTTAGGTCATTCGTGACTTGTCCGGGGAGAGATTTGAACTAAAAATTGTAGTACCGAAACCAACCAATGTATGCTGAAAACGGTGTGATATGACAACATTTTTATGCTGTGAGCCTAATTGGGGGCAAAACCCACATCAAAATGTAATCTAATGCGAAATACCATGGTGGTGCGTTTTACACCATTTCCACCTACCTATTGTGCGCTCTCTCGTCATAGCCTCTCTGAGATAGCTACGTTGTTCATGACGAGAGAGAGAGCACAATAGGTAGGTATCACAGAGTTGTAATTCAAAACCATCGACTAGATCAGGTCTATATCTAAACTTGCTTTTGAAATGGCTGTTTCAAGCTGCATTTTGTTTATTTCTCATTAATTCTGGGCTCAAATTGATAAACAAAATCTGCTGAAATCAACAGACACGTCCGGCCCGCAGGCCGCTCGTTGGGTAGCGCTGGACTACATGCTTACGGACGACACATCGATAGAACTATATTGCTGTATATGAGCAAATCGTGCTACCGTTTATTTTTTCCACTCTTTGTAGTGGAATCATCACGCTGCCGCTTCAAGCCTATCAAATAGATAGTTTGGCAAAATAAACAGTCATTCGATTCATACCATCATCAAAAATTGTCCTTTGCTCATTTAGCCCGGAACTATCATTTTTTAATTCTTTATTAAAGAGATTTTTAGCCTTAGGCTAGTTCATCTCTACACGGAACTATCAATTTTATACCTTCATGTCCTCTTCATCTATCATAAATGTTCACCATACATCTGATATTGCCATTCATTAAATATGGGAAATGGCTGCAATGTTAGCCTATGGATCTAAAGATTGGGCCCATCGATAAAAATCTCCTGTTCTTCAAATTTTCTTAGAACAATGCGTCATCTGGACAATATTACAAATGAATATGTTTGGTTGCAAGTGAATTTTTTCATAAAATGCTTTCCTTTAAAATCTACGTATGGGCTCAACATTAGGGACATTAATCCTATCTCGCTCAATTTTGTAATCGTCATCTTTACGCATGAAGTAACTAAAGTCTGATAAGCAGTGCCGCGTACTGTGAACAATGTCAATTGATGTAAGATATTGGTCTAGTATTGAATTTCACTTCCGACACTGATATCCGTAGTAAGCATGATATCAGGGGGTACGGCTTTGACATTTCTATCCATATGAATATCACTAGGGAAAAGTTGAATATCTTACTTTAATCTCAATAAATCAACTTTTTTGTATAACCGTTGCATTGTTTTAATATAACTGATGAGTTTTCTTAAGATCGAAACTCGATTAGTTGGCGTATATAAGAAAAAATTGAGACAAAACTTTGAATAACAGTAGTCATTTTACGATGTCAATGTCATTTGCGAGCCGACATTAAAACTAATGATATTGATATTCTGACTGTATGAATTGATAGTGACGTCAGGTGGCTAGTGAAAATCAGCAGTTTTTAGGTATTGATATTGAGTTTTGCAGCACTGCTGATAAGTAAAGATATTACTGAAATTTTTAAATTTCCAATGGCAATTCGCAATAATCTTCATCAAACCTTTTGCGCGACCCCTAAAAATCACAAATCTTTACCAGTTAGTGCCAGTTTCCATTATACACGTCGAACAATGGTTATGTAAACTTCAAAACACTTTTTCTCGGAAAATCTAAGATGAGATATTTTAAAACCTTCCCAGGTTTGACTTTCAAGATGAATACCAAGTTCCTGTGATGAAAAAAAATTGAGGAACATGCAACTCTCATAATAAGTGCCTTCAGACATAGCGTATACCCTTTAACATCTTAACGGCAACTTCAGTGTACGTTCCAACTGGATGAAGCAATATTCCTTTCCGAACCCTTCCGAAGGCACCTTCTCCCAACATATCAAGCAGTCTGATTTGATCTATGCTAATTTCCATTTCGTCGTCAATTGGCGCAATCAATTCGCTAGGAAATGTGGTGGGATGCAAAATTTCTTGAATTCCTTTTACCTTGATATCAAACCCGGTACCCGGGTCAACAGGTGCTTTCTGTTCCAATTCCTATAGGTGCGAATGAAGGCGGCAAATGTAAATAAATTGCATCGTGCTGCTTCACTGCCCATAAAAGCATAGCCGTTAAATCTTTGCATGATTTCGTATTCAAATGGACTGTTATGCGTTTATGGGTAGTTTAATACTGTACCATCTTTATCTTACCTTGAAATATTCACATCTCTGTTCGTATCTCTTCACCTTGGCTCTTCGTTTACATATTAGTGAGATGAATATTTTCATCAACCCAATCGTGAGTACAGGAGTTAGAATGATAACAGCCAGTCGTCCTCCGTTCCAGTGATCTGTAAAATAATTGCAATTAATTATAGATATAACGTTACATGATGCTTAAAGTACAGGAGTAGGTTCTATCAAATAAACATTTGTTTAATTTTTTTAACTCTTTATTTGTTCCAAAATTACATTTCATTTTAATCTAGGTGCTCCAGCTACTATAGCAACTTACCAGCCTTAGTTGTTGTGATATACGTCTAAGTGTGTTGAAATTATTCCTGTTTTGGAAACTCAGTATTTAAATCAGAGTTTCTATACCTGCTGCAGTGCATATCAGTATAATAATTGTCCTCTTAAAAGTAAAAACTAAACTGCATCTTAACTAAATATAATTATTTAACTAAATATAATTAATTGTTACAATTGAGGATTGAAGCGATTTTTTCCTGAAATGATTAATTATTTTGTTGAACATTTGTTCCAAAGTCTCAACATTCGAAATTCGATGTACATATTTCAGTAGTACTGCACCAGGAAGGCAACTTCAAAATCATCTTGAGAACTTTGTTATGAATCCTTTGGAGAGCTTTTCTCCTGGTAGTGCAACAACTAGACCAGTCTGCTGCAAATACCACGAAGACTTCTTCTTTTAACGGAAATGCCTGTGTCATCGCCGAACAACGATTTGTGGCAACCCTGAAGCAAATCAACCTCTCAGAAGTGAAAATTTTAAACAATATAGCCCCAAGAATGTTAATCTGATGAACTCCTGCTCTAATAGGTTGTCGTTCGTTTTGTTTTTTTGTTTTTTTTTTTCATTTTAGCCAGTGGAAAATTCAACTTTTCAATTTGGCAATCAAAACGTCATGCCAAACACTGTCGAATGCTTTTTCTATGTTTATAACTCCAGTTGAGCAGCCTTCAGATTTGTTTGATCGAATTAAATTGGTAACTCTTAAGAGTTGATGACCACTTGAATGCCCATGGCTAAATCTAAACTGCCGATCTGCAAAAATTGAGTTTGTATTGATGTGAAGCATCATTCTGTTTAAAATTATCTTTTCAAAAAGTTTACTTATTGACGAAAGCAAACTTATTGGACGGTAGCTAGAAGCTTCAGCTGGATTTTTATCCAGCTTCAAAATTGGAGCAACTTTTGCATTTTTCCATTTATCAGGAGAGTATGCCAAATGGAAACATCTGTTAAATAATATTACAAAGACAAGATAGTCAATGCGAGTTTTTTAATGAGGATATAGAAAATTACATCATCACCTGTAGCTTTCATTTTTGAAACTTTTTAGTTATACATCTTACTTCGTCGAAATTTGTCCCCCAAACATCATCAAACATATTTTCCCGAGGACTAGTATGACCCCAAAATGAAATTATGGTAATTCTCGAATTGCTTAGCAAGTTTCTTAGATTTTTCCGAATTTGTGATCAAAATTTTACCATCTTTCAAACACCTTCTTTAAAAGCTTAAATAGGCTTTTGAGTTTTTTTTATATTTCGTGATCTTCGAAAAGGGTTTGGAACTTATATCTAATTTTGAAACATTATTTCCAAAAGTTTTGTTCTAGTGTTCAGGACAGAGAATCGATTTTCAAAAAGCAAATTGAGATAATTTCGGAAGGTAACTTCAACTACGAAATCCCTCTTAAGCGGTTGAGAGCGCTACGTGGTATAGATTTGGACCGAAAGAAACCCTTACTCAACACAATTTTGCCGATTATTGACGAGAACCAGAAGCAATTTTGGAAGGATCTAATTATTAGGTTGTGATTGTTGGTTTCTCCGAAATAAACCTTGAAATAGACTCGCTGGTTGAACTGTTATGCTGAAATTTTTAAGATAAGACACTTTGACTTGATTTTTTTTTGTGTTTTGTAGAAATAAACCCACTATGATTTTTTTCATAAATTTAAAGGGAAATCGCAACTGCTGAACGAATAAAATGGAATGGAGCAATTATGTCGAAAAGAGCAGAACATTAGCAGCTCTTATTATAAGAAAAACTAAAATACGTAAATACGTGACGGTCTTCGGTGTCAGTGCCGTATTTCAGAGAATGTCATATGTTATTTTGGTGTGGTGCTGTAGGTACTTGATAGCTTGATAGATTATAACAGAAAATACGTCAACTACGGTTTCCGCTAACGGCTTGCGGTTATTTTTCACTACAGGGGACAATTTGACTTGGTATTTTTTTTCGCTTATCTTAAACAAAGTACCTTTTTAGAAAAAACATGACTCAAAACACATAAAAAGATAAACTGAATACTGATCCTAACTCAAAATTGATAAAATTGCAGATGTGACTGACTTGCGGTTACCGGCAATTGTTTTTAAGTATGTTGCGGTGCTTTGATTTGTTTTAAATATGATAAATGGTATTGTAAACCTCAACAAGTATAAAATTATTTTCTGTAGGAAAAGACAGGAGATTACAATTATGTTATGAGCATGATTGACCGCCCACGGTTGCTACTCTGTTGTTGCCAGATCAGCTATAATTACACAGAGAACAAATAGACGATGCTTGGAACTAGTAATCATCCTCAAGGGGTCATGCACAAATTATGGCACGATATAAGGGGGGAGGAGGTTTCAAATATTGTGACAAATCGTGACAAGGGGGGTGACGTCACTTCAAATTTATTCCGATAAAAAAAATATTTAAAAGTCCTTCGGAATTTGTTATGATTGCCCTATATTATTTATACAACAAGAGTGGCACGTGATAGTTTGATAGCAAGACTATGAAGCATTTCCGCAGAGGAAATGCGTCAACGTCACACGCAGCAATTGATTGCAGACAGAAAATCATGATTGTGACGTCACAACTACCTTCATGCATACGGTACTAAACTACCTAACTTACCACGCTCACTAATACATTTAGAAGAGCTACTGCCTCACCATAGAGATTGCTGAAGTATGATTGCGTCAGTGATTTGTTTTCATCGGGAAAATTTTCCGCTATGAAGTTTTTTTTTCCCAATGAAAACATTTTGCGTATGCGTATAACGTGACGTAGTGTGTGCACGATAAACGTCAGCAATCTCTATAGGTGATTGACAGCTTTTCATTCATAACAGTTTGAGTGCGTGCTTCATTGAAAGCAGTTCGAAGCTACAATGAATCGAAACGAATTGTTTCTTTCCCTTATTAATGGGTTTGTAAAGGTTTTTCCAGAGAAGACAAAGAAGCAGTGTCAGTCCGAAGCGGCCGAGTTTTGGAATTCGTGGAAGCAGCAGGACAAAAATGTGTTGGAAGAAAATGTATAAAAAAAGGAGTTGAATGGATGTGCCATGAGAAAAAAGGGTCAGCTATTGCAGTTCTGGGGAAAGTCCTTGAATGTTGCAGATAGTGGTCATACGAGCTCGTCTGGTCAATTATCAAGTGTTTCGGTAGCGGTTGCTGGAGAACAACATGCTAAAGAACACTCACCTTCATCATCAGGTTCATTGAAGCGCCCCGCGCCTATTCAAGATCGGATTAAAGAAGAAAAAAGTGATCTGAACAGTCAAATCCAATTTTTGATGGAGCGTGCATCAAGCGAACATACTACTGGTGATGAGAACCGGAAGCTGCGGGAGATGGAAAATAAAAATAAAACAACTTGAAAAGAACAAGATCGATAGCAAAAATATCGTTCCAAAGCCAAACAGGCTAAGCAGCACCTTCTCGAGCAAATTACTGAAGCGGGTAAGATTTGCATGCAGTTAAAACTCGCAAACATATTATAACGTTTATTCAATAACTTTTTAAGGTAAATATTTGAAAGTACAACTTACTCTCGGCCATCCACGCGTTGAAGATGTCCAACCCGATTTGTTGAAAACCATTTGCGACATTGCTCTTCACGGTATCAACAGCACAGGAAAAACGGCATGATGAAAGCATTAGAAGCATAAAGACACTTGATGTGGCATTGAACGTCATTAAGAGATGCACCATCAGCCGATCTACCATCTACTTGCTATTGTTCTATCGCAGAGGAAACAGCACTGAAGGGAAAAGGCATGTCAAAACGGTTCCAGTTAAACTACTACGGGCAAGCAATGCCAAATATCATGACCACCAAGACGGCAAGTTCAGCACAGCGACAATAAGAGCACTTGAGGATGTAGCATCTTTGTTGGGACCTGATGAAGTTTCTTTTTTATATCAAGAAACCCTTGTGTAGTAATTGGTTTGGCGGTTGCCACCAAACAATCACCAATGTTAATGCACGTGAAATATAAAGTAACCCTCCCAGATCATGATTAAGTAGTGACCAACAAGCACAAGCTGATTTCATCAGTATACGCCAGAATCGTTATTAAAAGGAACGGTCTTGGAAGATCGGATGCAGTAGGATATTCTGTTTCTACATACGTTGCCATCAGATCAGGAAAGCATGCATCTACTGCATTTTCTCACGCCGTTGACATAACCGTTTGATGGAAATTGATGCATTCGAGAAAATTTTGAAGTTTGGTGGTTTTATGAAACCCATTAAGATGATTGTTGTGGATGGAGGACCAGACGAGAATCCACGATACAAGAAAGTGATTCAAACAGCCATTCACCACTTTGTAGTTAAACTTGGATGCATTATTCATTGCGACCAATGCTCCCGACCGTAGTGCCTATAACAGAGTTGAGAGAAGAATGACTCCATTAAGCAGGGACTTGGCTGGACTTATAATTCCACACGACAACTTCTCCAATATCCATCACGCAGACTTCAGAAGGACTCAAAGGATCAGCTCGAGATGAGCCACAGCACTTTCCTTCGATGTTTTTATTGAATTCCATTGATATTTTTAAGATGTTACCGAAATCGTTTTCCGGCTTCAAAGTGGTTCCATATGACTTGTATTGCCCGTCGCTCAATGATTGTTTGATAAAGCGGGTCTGTAACATTGTGGATTATATTTTGCCACGCAGATTATGTGGGGGGGGGGGGGGGGGGTGTGGAATGAAATATTCTGACTCATTGTAACATTGGGGGGAGGGGGTAAATTTTTGACTAACTTAGCGTGACATAATTTGTGGATCACGCCCAATGTTTAAAAAC